TCAATCGCTGCGCGCAACGTGGCTTTGTTCACACTTTTGCTGACGGCGCTAGAAATTTCACGCGAGCCCCTCTTTCTCTCTCTCTCCAGCGACGCTCTCACTCTACCGCCCCGTGTTTTTGTGAAGTGAAATTTATTATTTCGAGCGACCATATTACGATACGTATAACAAGCCGGTGGGGCTGCTGCTGCTGCTGCTTTGTTTCACAAACCAGCGCTGCCTGCAACCCCCTCCCCCTTCCCCTCTTTCGCCCACCGCCAGACGATGACGACAAAAAATAAGAGAGCCCCTCGAACAACTCGCGCGCGACTGCTGCCGCTCCGCTGTAATAGAGACAAAGTGGAGAGTGCGCAAGTGGAGCGCGAATGAGAGAATTAGAGAGGATCAGGTGGGGACATGCCGGAGGAGAGAGAACACATCCCGCCGGCCGGGCCGGGCCGGGCCCCGCGCAGTCAGTTCGCGCCCCGCTCGCTACAAGGAGTAGCTTTTATGGAAACACTTGAAACTTGGAGCGACAGGAGGCTCGACGCGGCTGTGGCGGCGGCCCGGGCGCGCGCGGGGGTGAGTTTTGGTGTGGCGAATGGAGAAGGGGGGGGGGAGGGGTGGCGCACCCCTCACCACCTCACCCTTCCAGTGCGGTCTGCGCCGCGCTCACCCCCGCATCCCCGCACCACCCGGCTGACGCCGCCGCTGTTCGAACACCTCGTGATCGTGAAACGCTGCACACTTGCTGCAGCCGCCAGACCATAAACCTCGCTGACGTGCGATTAATTTGGTGCCTGACGTGACCATTGGAGGGGGCCCGGCCCGCCCCGCTGGGGGTCGTGGCGAGGCGGGGCGGGGCGGGGCAGCTCCTCGAGAGTTAATTACAACGGGACACGGGTGGCGTTTGTTTGCCTTCACCGGCCGGGCAGGTCTCTTCCTCCTAGAGGGCCCAGCAGCGCTCGCCGTAGAGCCGTGGAGCTCTTTGAGGCGCGCAGCAGCAGACGGACAGGCAGCCACACTGCTATCGGCCCGAACATCGCCATCCTCTCCCATTCAATCAGAGATGGAGCACAGCATCCCACGGTCCAGCAGCCGCCGGACCTCGACCCGGTCACCTCGGCCCCTGAATAGGAAATCCTTGCTTCGCGTCACCGGGTCCCTCTCGCCGCCCGGGCGGAGGGCCCACGCGCCGTACAAAGGACGGGCCGACGATATAGATCCCTCCTCTCTCTACTTTGAGGAAAACGACGTAGCGAGCGAGAGACGGGCGTAGGCGAGGGCCAAGGAGCGGTGCGTATCAAATGTCAATCTCGGTAATGGATCGGTGCAATGCATTGGCAAGTGGACCCGGACTGGCGGACTCCTGTGCGC